TACACTCGAATCATTTATAGTAAGAAACCTTGATAAAAGTATTTTTTATTTAGTACAATATTTTCCGATGGAGATGGATATTACCAATCTAAAGATCACCAAAAAAGCTTTCGAAACTGATATTGATAAAAATTTTTTATTTTGATATTTAAGAAACAGAAATTATCAAAACATGCGGTGTACTCGAAAAATATTGGACTAAATGAAATAATATTTTTACCAAAGATCAAAATCTGAGTACTATAAATGCTCCGAGTCTAAGCGGAATAGGAGAAAAAAAATTTTGAACCTTGATCACTTCAAGTGTAATCCTCTATATATGCGATTAAAAATTTTTAACGCTGTTTCGTTAAATTTACAAATTATTCTAATGAAAGATTCACTTAATCAATAATCAATAATCTATAAGTCATTAATTTATACAGCTTAATCCACGAAATCGTACGATTTAATCATGTATTTAAAAAATTTTAATTACAGGCATACATTTTATTTATAGGCGGTGTACATGAAGACTTTTAATGTTTAAAACAATTTACTTTTTTCATGTTTATTCTTTTAACCATTAGAATTTCGAAAAATCTGACATTTTTAACAATTTTTTAAAGTTTCAATTGATAGAGTTGGCGTTCAGAAATAATAATCTTAATGATAATATTTACCGTTCACCGAAAGTTTCAACCGATTATTTTTCAAGGTATAAGTGTACCATTAAAACATGTCTCTAATATAGTCATTCACGTTTGAAAGTTTAGACATAATTATTATTATTATATTATCTTTATTTATAAAGGCACACACATTAATTAGGTTTTTATTTATTCGTTTGTTCATCGGTAATATGTTCATTCAATAATAGATCAATTGATTCGTTTTCATAAATTCTTCAAGTTGTTAATTATAATTATACTTTTTGAATTTTTATAACAGTACAAAATTTTAGGTTTTCCTGATATGCATTTAAAAGCAATTGTAATTTAAAATTTTTAAAAATATTTTTTTTTCTAGGGTCAGGAACACAAGTCTGCAAGGTTTTTCTTTCAGATATTGGTGTGCTTTCCAATGAATTTTTGTGTGTTGAACACGATCCCGGGTACTAAAATTGTGTATTACGTCAGGATTTTGAAGAAAGTGTCGATTAATATAAAAAAAACCGTGTTTTTGACGGTTTTCAGTATTTTACCTGCTTAATCTGACGTACTAGAAAGTTCTATAGAGGCTCATAATAAATCTTGAATAGTATACTTTAAGACCTATGTACGCATGATAAAAAAAATTTCAAATTTTGAAAAAAATGTGGCTAAAGACACCAAATACATTTTATCCTTTAACCCCATTTTTCAAAATTTGAAATTTTTTTTCACTTGCACATATGGGTATGAAAGTATATACTATTTAAGCTTTAATGAAGTCTATATAGAAGTCTCTAGTACGTTAGGTTAAGAAGAAAAAAATACTTAAAACTCTCAAAAATAGTTTTTTTTATTTACCGACATTTTTTTCAAATTCTGACGCAACACACAATTTTTGAACCCGGGATAGTGCTCAACTCACAAAAATACATAGGAAATCACTTTGGTATATACAAAAAAAAACCTTGTAGACTTGTGTTACTGATCCGCTAGAAACCCCCGAGAGACAAGTTTCAAAGAAACCTATCAATTTTTTCAAACGCAAACTTCAAACAAGAATATATCATACAAAAATAAATATTTTTAATTTTTAAATTGCAATTTCTTTTAGATACATATCGCGAAAACATAAAAAATTTTGTTCTGCTACAAAAATTCAAAAAGTACCCTAAAAACATAATATTTTCATGTTCAGCGTCAAAAACAATGCAAGAATCACCCTATGTGATCCCAGAAATAGGAAAAATGAAATTCTTTTACATATAGTGTTATTTTTTCACCAGTGAAACCTACGATTTAAAATAAATTCAGTTGAATTAAAATGAATATACCCTGGGCTTCAGTGAATTTGGTATTGCAATGCTTCCTCCATGAAGAGGCAATTATGTAATTGAAGTACTTTAAATCAGAAGTGACATGAAATCATACAGTTCCGTGGAATTACCTATATATATATATATATATATATATTTTAAAACAATAAGTCCCCTATTAACTATTCCTGTAAATGTTTTTGCAGATTTTTCCTGTAAAAGTATAGTAGTTGAACTCCTACCAGTTCCTTACAAAAACTTGTACATCTTCAGTACCGGAAATTGGAACAAGTTCTTGTACTGGTTCGTGCATATTTTATTGAGATACGTATAATCAAATAGCTGCTCTTGTACCGTTTATTGTTTGTCAAAAATGTCTACTTTTATGCGTAATATTTGTTTACGTGGAAAATTTGAGAAAATCGTAAAGAAGTAAAGGAAGTAAGTCTAAAGTATAGACTTATAATATCTTAAAAAACTACTACGCAACCTCTAAAGTTTTCACTTTTAATTTTTTTAAAACAATTAACATGTAGAGGGTCTTTTATGTTCATTTCATGAACATATTAGCTTTCTCATTGTGTGAAGCAATAATACGACTCAGTCAGAGAAGTTTCAACCCAAAAAAATAATTCCAATTTTTTTTTTAAAAATTACCCACCAGGCTGTACACTGAGAAACTTTTCCTTGTAAAAAGTCCAATTTTTACGAGTAAACTCGGGATATATAAGTTTCACTAGGCATTTCTGTAAGAAAGAACAGCAAAATTTACCATACTTATTACAAGTTGTACTCGTCGCCGTTAGTACGTTTGCAATAAAACTTCAGATTCTTGTAGTATAGATATTACAGTAAGTTTACGGGATGTTTACAGTAAGAGTACACTGAGAAAAAACTGTTGTTTTAGTGGTAAAGCCATACTACTTTGGCATGTGTTACAACTGCCAACAGAAAACTGCTGTTTTAACATGAAACACAACCGTTCTAGCATTGTGTTACAGAGCGTTCGCAGTATCACAATGATAAAACGGCAGTGTTTGATGTTAAAACAGCAGTGTTTCAATGGCGGTGCAACTCCTGCTACAATAGCAAGACTTTACAGCCGTCGCGGCAGCTTTTTTTCTCTGTGTATAGTAAGCTTAACTGTAAGCTGACAACAATTTTACACTGTAAGCTTACGAATGGCGGACATTTGTAAATCACCTTAACCTTACCTGAAGTTTACGCTGTAAATTTACGAATCTTAGTTTTAAACTCAAAGGCAATTTACAGCAAGATATAGTGCTGTGTGGGAATACTGTGGCTATACTATGTACACAGGCCAACACTACACTACACGATCGCTACACATTTTTTCTCCGTTGTAGACGCAGCCTCTAATGACTACAGGAAAACAAAACAATGACTTACTGTCAGCGCTGTACTAAGATCGTTGTTGATATGAACGCAAATTTTTCTGACTGAATCCCTAAACCTCGAAGTAAGACGTTATCACGTCAAAAAATATACAGGAATTTGTTCTAATTTCTAGTGCTGAAGATTTACACATTCCTGTAAGGGTAGGAGTTGAGCTGCTCAACTTGTGCAGGGAAATGTACAAGAATTTTCAGTAGGGTTGATATTTGTTAAAAATAAATTTTTTAAAAACATCTTATGGCAGACAAGTAAGAGGAGGCTCTCATTGCGGCGGTTCAAAAAATTAATTTTTTTTATTGCATTATTTAAAAGCTATATATGGGTCAAAATTCCTCAATTGTGCCTCCCCCAAAATTAATTTCTCAGATTGAATTGAAACTTGGCTGAAGTACAGTTCTAGTGAACCTACATTTTCATCTTAACATAACTTCTATAAAACTTATTCAATTGAGTGTCTCCATATAATAAGGGGACGAGCGCGTGGTTGAAAGGGATAATACCAGTCAGGTAGCAGTGAGCGGTTCAGGGCTTGTCACTGCTACCTGACTGGTATTATCACTTTCAACAACGCGCTCGTCCCCTTATTGCATGGAGACACTCGATTATACTTTTAATATAGGGTTTTCGAAAGGATTTTTTCTCTATTTTATGAATATTAAGCGTTTTTTCTTAAAATTTAAGAAAAAAATTTAATTTTTGCTGTTTAAGGTTATGTGACTGTTAGGTCTGTAATGTTAATTTGGCGGAAATTTTCTCGTAAAATATTGAATGAATTGAGTTTAAATTTTGTGCAGGAGTTGCAAATATGATAAAGAATGGTTGTCAAGTACGAAAATGTTGATATATTTTTAAATATTTAATATACATTTTTTTGTTTTGGTCTTAAAACACAGCATTTTTTGTGTGCTTTAAAATCACACTTTGACAGAAATAAGACCTGCTTAATTTCAAGGTCAAATTTGACAAATTGTAGTTTTTAAGGTAAACAAGTTAAATTTGCCCTTGAAAATAATCAGATCCAATTTCTGTCATTAAGCAGCGAAAATTAAATTTTTTTCTTTTTTAAGAAGAAACAGTTTAAAAGAACAAATTAAATAATTTGGTTTCCATAATCATAAAGTAGAGAAAAAACCTTTTCATAAACTCTATAATAAAAGTGTAATTGAATAAGTTCCATAACAGTTATGTTAAGATGAATTTTAGATAAATCGCGAGAGTGGAATTTTTGGGGTGGGAATAGTTGAGGAATTTTAACCCATATGAGTAGATTGTGTAAGTAAAGTTATTTTCCGGTTTTTGCGATCCGAAAAACATTTTCGTTTCTACTGGGTCTTGAACTCACTTGTATTTAATATAAAAATGTTTTTAAATCTTTAAACTTGTATTTCTCGAAATAAGATTTTTCAAACTGGGATACATCGTAGTGCCTAAACTATGCAATTAATTAACTTCGTGTTTGAGGCTAATGAAAGATAACTAAATTCTGTTGAGTTTATACCTATAATATGGTATAATTGAGGCGTTATGTGCAAGAAGGGCGTATAGCAAAAAATGATGAACGGAGATATTTCAAGATAAAGTTTAAAATTTTGAGTTGTTTTTCGTAGCCGCAATGAGAGCCTACCTGTAAATAAATTAGTTAATAAATTAATAATACGTAACCATTATCTGCAGCTCGGCGTTGTAAATCTCTTATTTCTGTGGCACTTAATTTTTTTGTATTTAAATCAGTAATTTTACTTGATAAGTGCTGTCTGCAAATTTTTATGATAGATGCTCTGGACTTATTAATATTAGATTTTTTGAATCGATAGGCAACAACATCTGAAAATAAATTTTTTCTTTGAAGGGTAGGTTGCACTTGTCAAATGTAAACAATCATGTGAATGTAAGCAATTATTGACTAATTATTAGGTACAGCATGGCACCGTATTTGATTAATAATATGAAAAAAATAATTTTAAATATCATAAAATGATAAGTACTCTGAAATAGAAATTTTCACAACTTTCGAAAAGTGTAACCGCTTGAGTATATCAGGCCTATTGAAAATACCCGTACAACATATTGTATATGTTCAGCAGCTGAACTTAAACCAGTTCTGGTGATGACATGTACAAGAAAATGTACAGGTTTGTTTATGTCTTCGTTTAGTAAAAATAAAAACTTTAAAGGCTGCGCAGTAGTATTGTTAAGGGGAGGCACTACCCCCAATTTTGACCCACTTAAATTTAAATTATTAAATGAGGTTATATTTTTTTTCTTGCATCATTTGGGTCCTAAAAACATATAAGGTGGTCAAAAAAAGAAAATTTTAATTTTTGACCATTTTAGAATTTTTATTTTTCGAAAAAATTAATATTTTTGAAAATCCATGCGAGAGATTCTGACAAATCATTAAAAAAGTGTGGAAAAAATTTGACGATGAAAAATACTTAAAATTGTGAAAGAAGATACACATTTAATAGGAGAGTGCAATGATGTTTTAACTAATATTTTTCGCTCTTTTTTTGAAAAAAATAAAATTTTTGAAAATCCATGCGAGAGATTCTTAAGAATCATTAAAAAAGCGTGGAAAAAAATTGGCGATGAAAAATAGTCAAAATTGAAAAAGAAGATAGATATTTAAAATATTAATTTTTTTAAAAAATTAATTTCTAAAATTGTCAAAAATTAAAATTTTATTTTTTTGACCATCCTGTATGTTTTTAGGACCCAAATGATGCAAGAAAAAAAATAGAACCTCGTTTAATAATGTAAATTAAAGTGGGTCAAAATTGGGGGTGGTGCCTCCCCTTAAGCCTTTACAGCTGCGCAATAATTTTTAGCATGCTTAAGTGAAGAGTCTTAATAATTATAACTTATTAAAATTTCAAACTTTTTTAAAAAACATTTTCATGCAAATGTTCTTTTACAAGAACATAACGTGTTCATGTAAAAGTACTAGTACGTGAAACCTGGACAAGAATATGTGCAAGAACATGTACGCTTTCATGTACAAGTATATTTTCTTGTCCATGATCTTGTAAAAGTTCTGATACAAGAACATGTCTCAATTACGGATGCTGAACTTGTTCAAGAATATTAACTGAACATGTACAAGAAAATCTACAAGTTCGTGCATGAACATGTACAAGAACTTGTACAATTTCTTGTACAAATTTTTACAGCCGGGTATAGTCCCACCACCCAGTTGAAAAAACTTGTACAGGATCGTGACACGATCTTGTGCATGATCGTGCACCGATCTTACACACACCGAAAAAAAAACTTGGTACCCGTTTACCAAAATTTTACCAAGCACTGTGGTTCGTTAGAGTGATTACAAAGCTTCGTTGGTAAAATTAATTTATAAATTTTAAGTTGTGATCATTAAAAAAATCAGTTATTTCAACTAACTTTCATGGTATACTATCCAACCCTACCAATGAAAACTTGGTAAATTCTACCTATAAAAATAAGTACAATTAAGTTCAAAATACGTCACAATATAAACTATAGTTACAGTTCGGTATTTATTCCTAATAAATTATTATTCACATCAGTCGAAATAAACATTTAATGACTTATTTCCTTCGATTTAAAATGTAAAATCCACAAACAACTTCACTTTGATGTGAAAAAAATCATGTAATAACACTTCTTAATTTGTCAAAGAAAGTGAGGTAAGGTTTTGTAAAATGCGACTTTAACAATGTACACTCATTTACACCGGTAAATTTAACTTCATAAAATTAATTTACACTACTTAAAATTTGATTAAAACCACTCAAAAAATTTAATAAACGAAATATAGTTAATTCTAAAGCATCATTTTTTTTGGTGCATGTTCATTCACTAGGTCATATGCAAAAGCAGCAAGTGAACATGTAAAAGAATTGCAACAACGATCTTGTACAAGAACATGCATATTATGTTTATTCATGGTAACTAAAGAAATCAAGTTTTCGAGTCCATGCTCGTGTACTTGTAAAGGATTGTGCGTAAGTTCGTGTACATGACCTTGTGTAAACTTTTTTATTTTTGCAAAATTTGTGGAAATTTTTAACATTGGTCATAAAGAATTTTTGTTCATACCTGCGAAAAACAACTGCAAAGCTATATTTATCCATAGAAAGCTATACTGCGCAGCTATTACATATTAAAATAATAAACTGTAAGGGAAAACTCAAGATCTTGTACATGATCTTACACACAATTTTGTTTGAGTACACGAGCACGGACTCGTAAACTTGATTTCTTTTGTTACATGAAGAAACATATGCATGTTCTTGTGCAAAATCGTTGTTTCCAAACTTTTTGCATGTTCACTAGCTGCTCTTGTACATGACCTGGAGAATGAAAATGTGCAAGATCGTATACATGATCCTGTACAAGTTTTTTCAACCGGGCAGACGACCGAATTGTCGTTTTTTGTCGATAACGGTCAATTGTCCAGGCAGAAGGTTGGTAGAATAACCTCATCGAGAGATTTCTAAATTTCTAAATTCTTCTAAATTTCTGAATTCTTTCTCCCGTCTAAGTTTTTTCCGTTCATACGTCTGATATACTCAAGAAGATAAACTTTCCTCATTTGCTCGAATTATTATTAGATTCAGTTTTCATTCAACAGATCCCTGTGGGCAAAAAACCATGTTCGTTCTAAAAACGTTTTAAAAACGTTTTTAGAACGTTGCATGTCTGCCAAATAATGTTCTGGAACATTATTTGAACATCCATGTTCGTAAAATGTTCCAGAACATTATTTGGTGGACATGAAACGTTCTAAGAACGTCCTTAAAACGTTTTTAGAACGACCATGGTTTTTTGCCCACAGGGATTTCTCACACTACAGAATTTATACTTAATCGCTTCACTGTCAGCGACGCATACGCTGTGTCGTGAGAAATTAGGGGTCCAAACTGTCAGCGAAACATACGTTGTATCGTGATCATCTTAATACAAAATAAATGAAATTTTCTATTTAAATTGTACAATAAATTCTTTTATATCATTATTCGCACACTGCAGGTATCAATGATGCTTGGTTAATTAATCATTATTTTCTTTTTAACTAATAAACAATTGAAAAATTCACGAAATTTTTTCTTTAATTCACAGACCACAAAAACTCGCAAAACACTAAGTTTCATAAAAATTTGTCGACAAGAATTTGTTGGACATTTTGGGACCACAGCATCAATTTTGTCTCTAACAGTGAAGGGCTTAACCGAAAAATAATTGATCAGAATTTTGATTTGTTTTTTCAATTTACAATTTTAAATAAATGGAAATTCTATCAATTGATTTTTAGTACTTATTCATGCGACCTTACATAACATAGGGATGCAAAATATGTTAAATTTAAAATTCGGTTAAATAAAGTGTTTTGTTACACATAAATTCAGTAAACAGCAAATACTATTAAATAAATATTCGAATAAGTAAAATGTTGATAAAAAAAGAATTTTGTGAAATAGGAATTGTTTGAAGGTATTAGACGCGTGGATGTCGTGTTCAAAAATTCTTAAAAATTTTTTTTTCAATTTAAGCTTCAGAATTGTGAAAAATATTATCTCCTATTAACAAATTTTATACAGCGTTGATCAATTATAAAATATCTATACTCTTTCTTTTTATAATTCGTATGCAGTATTGTACTATTTTGGACAACGATATCACTTACTATGTATTTGTTATAAATGGTTCAACTTGTATTTTCAATAACTTCTAATCGAAATGGTAGATATTGTTCATTTTTATTGTAAGTAATTGTTTCCTCAAAATGTCCCGCATATTAGTTTTTTATTAAAACTTGACGATTCTTTAAAAAATTAAACAACAAAATGTAATAATATTTATGAGTTTTGCACAAAATGCATGTAAACTTAGAGATGGTCAATTTTAATCAGTTTGGTCTTATTTTATAGATAAAAAGTTGTAGAATAGTCAAGTAAATTTTCAAAAACATCTGACGAAAACGAATCTACGCGACTAATACCTTAAATGAAAATTTTCTGAACTAGAGAATCTAGTTTGCTGAATAATGTTGAATAAAATTTGTTTTATATAAAAATTCAGTTGAATTAAAAATTAAATAGACATACCATATAGTGCTTCCAGTTTTTTTGGCGAACAAAGACTTCGTTCTTGACCTACTGATCTCGGTTTCGCTTTGAGGTCTAAACATTTACTTGGTAACAAATCGCGCCATATAGCAACTGCTGTGTTTCTAGCTAGAATGGAAGGTTTCATAGTTAAATCCAATGCATCCCACACATCTTTGGAGAAAGATACTTCTTCATTGATGTAAACCTATAAGAAACGGACAAAAGATTTACAAAATATTTTAATATTCTGGGTACTTTGTAAAAAAATTTAAAATCTTTCATCGAGACATTTTTGAGAAAATCGATGTATTAGTTTAAAAATAGAATTTTTCGTTGCCTTTGAGAAACATTATGTAATATCCCAGTAAAAATTTACATAAAACCTAACTTTATAAAGAATTTATATTATTCAAACTGCCTTAATATTTTTACTTGGGATAATAGTGGAATTTCTTTATTTTAATTATTAGTTCATGAATGGAGATGAATAAAGAAATATGTTTACAGAAAGATGTAATTTTTAACTTTACCAGCAACATGACATCTTCCAGATGTTATTTCAACTAAATAATTATTCATTTGTTTTTGTTTGCCTACCTCAACAAAAACAAATCAATAATTATTTTGTTCAAATGACATCTATCAGATGTCATATTGTCGGTAAACTGAAAAATTATATTTTTCTGTAAATATATTTATTCATTCATCTCCATTCATATAATAATAACTAAAATAAAGCAATTCCACTATTATCCGAAGTACAAATATCAAGATCTTGAATATCAAGAATATCAAGATTATATTATAATTAATATAATTATGTTGCTTGTAATTCAACCGATAGTTATATTTAAGAATGTGAAAAAATGTCGGACGTAGTAAAATAACACGGACTTTTTATACAGTGTTGACTTAAATTTATAAGGTAACCTTTAAAACTAATATAAAAACCATGCACTTTTTGAGATTCGCTTATGAAATTGAACTAATGTAAGAGTATATGAGAACATACTAGCGCAGTGTTTCGATCAAAAAAGTTTCCTTTTGCTTCCTCGTGTGGAGGAAGCTTTGTAGTCCTTTCGTTTATAAAACTTTTCAAAGTGGCAGAAACAATTTTTTTTCTTTATAGAAACATGTTATATGAGATCCTGATCAATTGTCCGGATGTATGTATGTGTATGTGTGTGTGTGTGTGGATCCCTTTTTTGTTTAGAAGATAACTTTAACAGGTTTTAATGGATTTAGATAAAATTTGGTAGGCTCATTTATCATATTAATATCTCAAATCTGACCAAAGGATTTTTAAAAATATCCCAAAAAAAAAATTTTATCGTCTTTTTTCCAAAAATTTTTTTTTAATCGAAAAAAGTTTTAAATATAAAAATTTAAGGTTATATATATAATAAAATCGTATTCCTTACGTCAAGACGAATCGATCGATATATATAAAGTGTACATTTGAGGTAAATTTAAAGAATTAATGAAAGTTAAAAAATCAAAAATTCACATTTTTGCAAAAAAAATTTGTGATTTTTTAAATTGAAGTTTATATATGAAATAATTGTATTCCTTACGTCAAAACGAATCGATCGATATATATAAAGTATACATTTGAGGTAAATTTAAAGAATTAATGAAAGTTAAAAAAATTAAAAATTCACATTTTAGCTGAAAATTTGTGTATTTATTTAAATTCAAGTTTAAATATAAAATAATTGTGTTCCTTGAATTGAAACAAATCGATATATTGTAAATAATTATAAATTATATATTATTTTTCATTAATTTTTAGAAATATCTGCTGAAATGTGAATTTTTGGTTTTTTAACTTCTATTAATTCTTTTAATTTAACTCAAATGTATAGGTATACTCAAATGTTTATATTATTATATTATTTATGTATGTTTATTTCAATGTTAATGCTTTCTCCACGAGGAAGCAAATTTTTTTGCTGATCGTAAAGAGGAAACAAAATGTTCATGTAATGAACATCTGAATTTACAACTTGTTTTGTTTGTAATTGGTGTTTTCAAAAGTTTTTTAATGCTTTCTCATAATTTTTATCCAGCGACTTTAGATTAAAATTCAACGGGTGAATATACATGAGTATACAGTATAGTGTAGTGTCTCGGACAAATTTTTTTTTTTTGCATGCGTAACGAAAAAAAAAATTTTTTAGATGAAAAATAATTTTACCATGTCATCAATAATATCGAATTGCTTCGGTCCATCTTGAGAGCTGTTTGTTGTAATTGTCGCTTGAGCATTGTCTATTTGCATGTTCTAAAAGTAGAATTTAGTAGAATTTGTAACAGAAATTACAACGTGGATTTTTTTAAGAGTAAAAATATTAAATGCAAAAAGTTAACGCGATTAGAAATTTTACATTTTAGGGCACTTTATTTTTTATTCGAAGGCTACAAGAAAAAAGAATCCCACTTACTCAAAAAAAATTTGCAGTTGAAGGGTAGAATGACAAAAGGGGTCAAGCGCCAATTCACTGTTTTTACAGGAAGTAAAAAAAACATTTTTAAAAATTTTGCAGGTCATTTAAAAAAAACTGAGAAAACCGTTTCGATATATTAGTATGTTTTAATAAATAAACAACAATTTGTTGAAATAAACCTACATATTAACGATAAAATTAAAAAAAACTGTGGTGCCTTGAGGTTATATCAACTGTGCACATTTTCTTTAAGCATTAATTATAAAAAAAATATACAGTTTAAAGAAAAACTGGAAAATTAGTTTCTTGCTATGGAATCGACGAAATGAATAGAAAAAAAAATTCCTTTAAAAAATTGTTTGTTTTCAAGAAAATTACGAATTAATTGCTTACAAAATGATTTTAAAATTGTTTAAAATTGAAAATATATTATTATTATTATTAATTTTATTAATTAAAATATTAAAATAAAATTAAAATGTTTTTTTTTAAATTTGTTAAATTCTGCATAATATTATTGACTCACCACTTTCTTTTGTTTTTCAATCAGGTTGCAATAAAGTAAATTTAAGGCTATTTTATTAATTTAATTTTTATTAAAAATTGATTTAAATACGCAATAAAAAAGGAAATCCTTCTACAGAAATGTGTAAATGAATTTTCTTGATTTTTTTATGCAAAAACCTCATTTTCGATAAATTGGCGCTTGACCCCTTTTGTCATTCTACCCTTCAGTTGTAATTCTTTCATTCAATCATTTACTTAGTTAATTTTATCAAGTATTTCTGTGAACTTTTTTGATTTTCTCAGGCTTTACTTAATCGTGAATTTATATGGGATTCAAATTATCATTATTTTTGTCAAGTATTTTATACTATACATACTTCTCTAACAGATGGCGGATTTTCTGGCGTCTCTAAGTTGCCGCTAGGATGTGACTGAGTGAGGTCGTCTGTATGTAGTAGGGGATTTTCTAATAATATTAAGTTGTTGCTAGATTGTGGTTGAATGAGTGGTTCTCGTTGCTGAAGAAGTGCATTTTTTTTTCCTTTAAAATGTCTTGGTTCATCAATGTTTTTGATGTAGTCACTTTCAATGCCTATTAAAACATACATTTTATATGGGCAAATCTCACGAGATGGGGACATTTTGATAAAAAAAAAAAAATTCAAATTAGTGGCACAATATTTTCTATCATGGATTGTTGTTTATCGACATAAAAGAAGTACATTTTAGCTCGCGTAACTTATATTTTTCGTTCGCTACTCGATTTACAATGATTAACCCCCCTACGGATTGATCAGAGATAACTCGGGGTGACAAAATACTTTAAATCTCATCAACAAAACATCGGATTTACATGATCCAAAGTGAAAATTTAAGGTGATGGTCTAGGCTTTCTAGAAATGTATGTTTGAAATAATAAAGTTCAAAATGTCGGATCCAATATGGCGGTTATTTAAAAAAAAATTTATAATCCATCGAATTCGCTTGAAAATCGTTACTCGGGGGTGTTTAAGGTCGCTGATCATGAATCTGATGTCATTTTTAAAAAATTCAAAATGGCAGATCTAATATGGCAAACATTTAAAAAAAAATTTTATTAAAGTCTATCGAATTCATCGAACTTCATCACACAGTCTGTTTTCAGTGTTTTGATAACAATAAATACCTGATTGACGATAATCTAAGTTTTTGAGATTGGGGTGGATAGTAGATTAGTAGATTTGTGAATAATAAATAAATAATAAATAGTATTTATATAATATATATACATACATATATGTAATATAATATGATATAATATAAATAAAATAATAACATAAAAGTAACTTTTTCAAACACGACTATATAAAAATGAAAGAGTGAAAATTTCGATTTTTTCTATTTTTCAGGTAAATTTTACTTATCACCTACTTTGTCCAGGTGTTTCATTACTTTGCAACTCTTGCAAAAACACACTCTTACATTGGCCTAAACTTACGTTGATAAAAAATCCAGTTGCAAACGTTTAAATATATTTTTTCTCCAGTGGCACCTTAAAATAGATTAATTATCACTATTTGTCACCTAAAATCCCAGATAACAAAGCGTGCGCGCATTTTTTGCGCACATTGATGCGCGCACTAAATGCATGCAAAAATGCTAACCGTCTGACAGCACATTCTGATGGCAATGCAAGTGCGCGCATAATGCAGGCACCCAGTTAACAACGTGTGCACGCATTTTATGCGTGCATTGCTGCGCGCACAAAATGCATGAAAAAATGCTAACCATCAGAAAGTGTTATTTATTCTTATTATATCTTCTTATTTATTATTCCGGATAGTGCAGGTATACTTATATTATATTATATTATATTATATTATATTATATTATATTATATTATATTATATTATATTATATTATATTATATTATATTATATTATATTATATTATATTATATTATATTATATTATATTATATTATATTATATTATATTATATTATATTATATTATATTATATTATATTATATTATATTATATTATATTATATTATATTATATTATATTATATTATATTATATTATATTATATTATATTATATTATATTATATTATACGCAATACACACATACGTAAAACGCTCACGCAATTGAACTTCCTTACCCTGGTTAGCTTGACGCCACTGCTCATCCCTGCACTATCATTCACGACAGTTTGTTTGCAATCGTTATTTACTGCGTTACTGTTTGTTTTCTATAAGTACGATATAAAAGGATCGAGATTATTTCTGAACTTGGTAAGTAAATATATTATATTATTGTAAATATGTAATTCATAACCTCAATTTTAGACAGTCAGCACTTTTATACATGATACATGAATTTTCTTTTTAGTTTAGTTTCAATCTTAAACATTTAAATGAGAATAAACCATATAATAATTTATGATTTTCTGAATTAGAGGTATTGTGATTAAAAAAAAGTTCTAGGCGAATTTTTAGGTAAAAGTTCAGAATGTACAGTGGTGAAAGTTAATTTACTTGTTTATGAGCAAATTTATATAGAAATTTTGTATTTTCTTACTAGAAATCTGTTTGAAATTTGTTGGAATGATTATTATTTAAAACATAATTTTTATGGGAGTGTAATAAGTTACTGTACATAAAACAGCAAAAAGTGTCGTCGATGAGGATAAGTTTTAGATAAGAGACTAAATTTTTCTATTTCCATCTTCTCCGTCGAAAACACAAAATATGCTTTTAAAAATTTTTAAACTATTTTTAGATTGGATAAAAAGCTTTCAAAAGATTTCGCTTACCAATTTTATTGCATAAGATGACTGTTGTCGAGCGTGCTTAAAATGTATTGTTATACAGAACTTTTGAGTATAAAAAATTAATCCGAAATATTGTACGAAAAGTTACTTTATTTTTAAAGTAAACATGTGTTTAATTACTAAATTGAGATTGAAAATATTACATAATATTTTCAATATATCTGGAAACACTTTTAATACAGATAAATATATTACAAGTAAATATTTTTTGTACAATTTTAAACAATATCAAAGTAAGTGTATATATTTTAAGGGATGTGAAAAGTATTATTTAAAAACTTTTTATAAACATTTGTTAAATTTTTTTAATTACATAGTAGAATTTTTAAAATCAACTTTAAAAAATTCTGGTTGAATTAAAATCGTCCAATTTTACCATTTTTAACACTAAAGTATAAAAAAAATATTCAAAAACTTAGTACTAAAATTTTGTCTTTACCTATATATGTTAGAAAAAGATTTATTTATATAATACTAAACTTTCCTCGTTTTAGGATTTTTTAAAGAAAATTTTTTAATACATTTATCATGTTTATGATCAGCAATTGAAATAAAAATTGTATTCAAGCAAAATCTTATAAAATCCTTTTGTTTACAATTTTTCTATAACAATTTTTTTACCTAGAAACGTTACAACAGTTTTTTTAGAGGGTCATTCCATTATATTTTACCTAAAAGTCGTTGCGGTCTAATTTTAAAAAAAATTGATACTATCAGAAATGATTCTTTATAATATTTAGGAAACGAAATAAAGAAAATTAACTTAAAATTTTTATTATTTATCTTAAAATATGAGTTTAAAGTGGAGGAGGTGCGGCAAATTGTCACTTTTTTAGTAGAAATTATTTTTAATAACATAGAAGAATTGTTAAAAGTGTAAGAAAAATTATTGGCTCTTGTTCAGAATCGATGAATTAACTATTTTATAATGATTAAACTAATGGAAAAATTAAAATAATATATAAAATATGTTTTCAAAGTTGGTCTGTCAAATAACCTAATTTTACGATTTTTATTAATTAATTACTAAAAAGTGGAATTATTAAATAAAATAAAAACTCACCGAATGTAAAGTATTTGTGTTGAACTTGCAAATTGCCACAACGACTTCAGGTGAAATATAATGAAATGACCCTAAATAATAGTTAATAAAAAATTTCAGTGAAGAATATTTTCTCTTTAAATTGTTAATAATATATCTCGTTAACTTTACTCTCATAGATATTTTAGAATTTTTTCATCTTTTACAAGTTGCTTTGCGACATTTGCGAATATTTATTAGTATTATCATAGTAATAAAATTAATGACATTTTAATTATTCTATAAGCAAATTATCTAGATATTGTTGAAAATAATTTCATCACAAACATTTTACACAAAAATTTTTTCCCAACCTCACTCCGATAACTATATAATAAGAATAAAATCTTTTGTTATGCAGAAATAAGTACAAAATAAATAATGTCTGGAAAGTACAATCAGTTTTTAAACCTTAGTACCGAACAAAAACGAAGGCGCTTAAATGCAATTCCTAGAGAAAGGGCTGATTCTGAAAGCTATACCTCTGATTCGAATACTGAAGAAAATGAAAGAGTGGTAATTCCGCCAATTCGTCCTCATTCACCTGTACCATCTGAATTGGAATCAGATGACTCACAAAATCTTTCGGATCAATCAAGTGTTTTTTCTTTAAATTCTATTTATGAAGATGATGAAAACGAAACAATGGATGATATTTCTGAAGTCGACGTTGGAGAAGAAAGAAATGCAAGCGAATCAGACGTTGAAGTTGAACAAGTTAATAATCCACGTGAAATGTCTAGAAGAATTTTAAAAAATGCGTTTTTGTTAGCTGGTTTGAAGCACACACAAGGAAATATAATACTAAGAACTTTACGAGAGTTTCCTTTTAGTTTAAATTACTTACCTAAAGATTCTCGAACATTACTGAATACACCAACAACTGTCGCCAGCAGACAAATCCAAATGATTCCAGGTGGGGAATATCTCCATATTGGATTTAGAAAAACTTTACTGCAAAAATTAGAAACCCTTGAAGAAAATATGTTGCCAGAAAGAATCAGCATTGATTTAAGCACAGACGGTGCAAAAATAAATAAGGGATTCGATCAATACTGGCCCATTCAATATAGAATTAATAATATATTGGATAACAGAGTTATTATTGCTGGCATTTATAAAGGAAAACATAAGCCGTCCAATCCGTTTGACTTTTTCGGTCCAGTAATTGAAGAAATTGTTGGAATTCGACAAGAAGGTGGAGTTATTATCAAGAATAGACTAATACCTTTGGAAGTAAGATGCTTTATTGCAGATGCTCCGGCTCGAGCATTTATTTTAAATCATTATGGTCACAATTCGTCGAGGCCATGTTCTAAATGTATAGTGGACGGTCAACATTGTGAAGTTTTAGGCTTCGAGAGAGGATTAGTGTTTCTTGATGTTAACCATGAATTAAGAAATGATCAAGATTATTCTGATTTACTTGATGACGATCATCATAAGGGAGAATCTCCGCTGTCTCAAATCCTACCGCTTGTGACTCGAGTTCCATTAGATCCAATGCACCTGGTGTGGATAGGAGGTGTAAAAAAAATGTTATCGGGTTTAGTAGAAGGACAATTTGGCTGTCAACGTTTAGGTAATAGAAATATTAATATAATTGATTCGCGAATGTTACAAGCTGCCGAATATTGTCCATCAGAGTTTAATCGACGACCAAAAGAAATATCATTGTATAAACATTTCAAAGCTACCGAGAACAGACAACTGGC